CTCTAATAGCTATTAGGTCACGGTAATCTGGTCCGTGCGTAATCAAACCAGTGTGCCTGTGAATAAACGCATAAACATTGACTTTCACCTTTATTGTTCACACTGTCTTATCAGTGTTAAGCAATGTGGAGCATAAATTCTAGATTACGGGAATATTTGCATTCATTTTTCATCAGCTGAAGGATAAAAGAGTCCAAGAGACTCACAATGCAGAGGGTGTCATCAAAGGCTCTTATCTGTAATACAAGCTTAATTGTATTGAATGTACACTTAAAAGTATATTTTTAAAAACTGTGCTTGCAGACAGGGCCGTCCTTAGGGGGGTGCAACTGGTCGCACTGGGCCCCGCACTTGCGGAGGCCCCACGGCGAACGGACCTAGGGGGGCCCCGCTTCCTACCTCGCACCGGGCCCCGCGTCAGCTACGGACGGCCCTGCTTGCAGATCATATATTATTGAAATTAAAGGCCACTAAATGTACTTCATGACTGTTTCTCAGGGTTGCCAGGTCAGTCGACGTAACAAAACCAGCCCAATTGCTACTTAAAACTAGCCCAATCACAGCCAAAACTAGCCCAGTCATGTTCCGGCGGATCAACATCACTCCAAAAATCATGTTTCAGGGGGTTCCCCTCGATCGAAACTTAACCCGTGGCAACAGTTTTCCACAGGAAACACAGACTTGGCAACACTGCTGTTTCTAAACACCCTTAATAACCCTTTAAAAAAGTGCACTTTGTAATAATGTTAAACATTAAAGTATATTTTAGTTTACCGTAAATGCTTGTCAGTACATTCAACAGTACATTTTAACCATAAGACAGCAGAAGTAATTATAATATTACTTGTACTTAAGTTTCACTTAAGTGTGTCAAAAAATCAATCTGAAGTTCATCTAGTTGCATTTAATATATATTTAAGATAACACATTTATGTTTAATTGCAAATAACATGCAATTAAGTGTCTGAAAACATTACATTTAGTATATTTTTAAAGTATATTATTGCTGTACTAAGTACTTTTTTTAAGTATGCTAAAGTGTACTTCTTTTACACAATGGCTGCATTCACACCACAAATGAATGTGACCAAAATGCATTAATTTTCAAGGGAGACACAGCATAACAAAGTTGAACAGGAAGTGCATAAGCTAATTTTACATAAAACTACATAGGCAAGTGAAAACATATTTTATTTCAACTATAGTAACATTTATGTAAAACTTAGCCATTAAAATGTATGATGAATGGGGGCATATAAATTGGTTGATGAAAAACAACCGTTTGAAAATAAAACTTTGGCATAATAATGTTACAAAAAGTTCAGCATGGCACAATTGGCACCATTCCCTGAGATTAACCCACACAAACAACTGTGTACAGATTGATAATAATAATGATTGATGATGTTGCGGCTGTGGTGGCAGCGAGCCCACGGGGCAGACTTTGAGTCCTAACCAGTTCTGTCTGTTTACAAGAATGTTAACAGATGGAAACCAGCCAGTGAAGATCATATCAGACTGCAGAAACTCCGCACGCCTCCAAAACAATCATCATTTATCCTGAGTATTCAACAAGAGTACGACACATTTACACACGTTCCCTGCTGTCCATTCTGGAATGACAATTTCTCCTGCATACGTATTTATAGTACATTGGGATTTCCTCTGGAGGAAAACATCCCATAGATTTACATTGAAGGAAGGAACCCATCCCAACAACTTGACAGTGGGCCTTTTTTTCTTTTTCAGTGTTGTTTCAACACTGTTGGCAGTAGATGAACAGTGTGTAGGGCCAAACATGAACACTTGCAGCTAGCCTGAGATAAATAGTGATTGATTTCAGGTGAGACTGGCCTCTTTATATGCAACATCTTTAATATTAGTCTGCCTCACTCTGATATTAGTGCACAGGTGCTCCAGAATAACTCCAGAAGAAACAGAATTCCCAGAACTTCCACGAGAAATGCCGGCGGTTCAGAGGGTTCACTTATGTAACGGCCCTATAGTGAGTTTAGAATGAGTGTGTGTCAGGTTACTGACTCCTGCATGGAAGAACCAAGAGTGTGTTCAGCGTTCTTTATTTTATTATTATTATTTGCACTAAGTGGCACTTAGCTTGCCGAGGTACTAAGACATTTTTACATACTATATATATATATATATATATATATATATATATATATAAGTACTGGTATAGAATATTTTCCATGCCGCCTTTGTCCAATTTTTTTTATAGAAGCAATAGATTTGCCATACTTTTTGATGAATAAAAATAAATTTTTCAGTTTGCTAAGTTTTTTTTTTTGAAAATGTCAAGATATTTCAATCCTTTTAACTATTTTAAAGCTGAGTATAATTAGACAAAAATATTTGACAAACACTTTTTAGTGTCCTTGCATGTTCTTACTATAGTAATAACAGTAAATTATGCATAATTACAAACAATTCACCCTAAACCAATCCCTAACTCCATAGTAAGTACGTTATTAATTAATATAACTCATTACTTAACTGTACTGACAAGGACGCTGTAACAAGAACACCTTATTTTTACACTTTGCTATAGATATTTTTATTATTTACTTTGTTTTCTATGATATTTACACACCTGGGAATCAGTTTAAAAATAACCCAATTTTTCCAGGCAAGTTAACAATATGACAACAAAATAACATTGCAATTATTCCTGACACATTAATCATACTTGTTTATTAATAGCAAAAATGCTCTGAAGTTTGAAGGGCAGATTTTTTCTTGAAAATATTTATTGCAGAATACGAGTGCAACAGCTGAATAAACTGTTCAAAACTAAAAAATGTTTGAATGCAGATAGCTTAAAAGCACCCAGAGGTGTAATGGATTCTTACACGTATACAGAGAAAATGAGACTTTCATTTCAAAAAACAAACTGCACACAATTCTTAAAGGGGTCATATGATGCAATTTAAAAGTTACAAGCTGTTCGTGCATAGATAAGATCCCTAAAGTTGCAAAGACTAAAGTCTCAAATCCAAAGAGATATTCTTTATAAAAGTTAAGAGTCAACCACACCTACCTAAAACGGCTCGTTCTAACACACCCCCACATGTCTACATCACTATGTGGGAAGATTTGCATAACGCCGCCCAAATGTTCACGCAAAGAAAGAAGGCGTAACTTTTATTCTCGCTGTAGTATTGTTGCTGCCGCCGCCGCCATGTCGTGAAGGCGCAGTGTGTTTCGTTGTGAAAGCGAAACTACTTTGTTTGGTCTTCCAAAAGAGGACGATATCCGCTTCATCATGCCTAGAGCTGATCCGTGCTGGTCGCTGAGGAAATACATAAACTTCGTGCTGTGGATCACCGGATCGGCTTTCACCGTGGACGAAGCGGAGAAGTGGGGCAGTTCCAACTTTGCCTGGCGCTTCTGACTCACAGACTGCAAGTAAGTTTTTTATATTTAAAGAATTTGCCACTGATGATTCAAACGTGAGTTTTGAGCAGTGTAGAGTAGCGCTTGTTGTTTGTCGTTTCTCCGATCACAAATGCAGACATGGTTTTATGTTTACGCGGCACGATACACAACACAGTATAAGTGTGTATAAGGCAGAGTATAAGGCAGAGTGTAAAAAGACAGTATAAGTCATTATAATCAGTAATTAAAATGCTTAGTTTTTAATGGGTTTTATTGTTTTTGTTTTGGGACAGGGCATCACAGTATGGTAAGGGCCATAACATTTCCATCACACGCGTGAGGTATTCGGCCAATCACAACGCACTGGATAGCTGGCCAATCACAGCACACCTCGCGTTTTCATGACTGATGAGCTTTGTAAAAATCGACGCGTTTCAGAAAGGCGGGGCATAGAGGAGAAACAATAATGTACAGTATGTGGAAAATAATGTTTTGAACCTTAAACCGCATAAACATTTCATTACACCAAATAATGTTCTTTTTAGCAGCATCATATGACCCCTTTAAGGAAAAAAAAAATCACATATAAATGAACGTTTAATAACCATGTTTAAGCAATGAAGATTGCACATGTCTGTTCAAGCAAAAACAAGGTCAAGTTCATACTGTTGGCTTCCTTCCAACAAGTGTGATGTTTGGTGTGATGCCGCACGTGGATTCGAATGTGTGCAGCTGTTGAAGTAACTTCAGGTTTAACGTAACATCTGCTGATGGCAGCGCACCAATCCTTCACCATTATCAACCGCAGCGCGTCCAACAGAGCCATGGACTTTGAGATGTAGGTGAACTCCAAATATAAATGTTGTGAATCACAAGCAAACAAATAATTCAGTGATAATGTCAAACGTGGGCATGTTAGCACAGGGGGAGGAGCGTTTGTTTATTGAGCTTTCTATCGCCAGCAGAACAAAAACGGTCAGACCACTCAAAAAAAAAAAATAATAAAAAAATCAAAAGTTTACATCCATAATAATCCACATTACAACCGTTACAAACCAGTTACTCCTCTAGTATTCACTGTAGTATTCTAGTATTTGTTTTCATTAAAAACGAACACGTTCACTCCCAATTCTCTTTACTGTAACATGGAAAAGTTCTTTAAAACTTAAATTGTAAATTATTTATATATCATGGTTGTTGTTAAACATCCAGATGCATTTAGGGAATGAGAATTGTGACCCTGGACCACAAAACCTGTCATAAGGGTAAATTTTTCGAAATTGAGATTTATATATCATCTGAACGCTGAATAAATAAGCTGATCATTGATGTATGGTTTGTTAGGATAGGACAATATTTGGTCGAGATACAACTATTTGAAAATCTGTAATCTGAGGGTGCAAAAAAATCGAAATATTAACTATAATATTAATAATAATCGCTTTTAAAGTTGTCCAAATGAAGTTCTTAGCAATGCATATTACTAATCAGAAATTAAGTTTTGATATATTTACGGTAGGAAATTTACAAAATATCTTCATGGAACATGATCTTTACTTAATATCCTAATGATTTTTGGTATAAAAGAAAAATCTATAATTTTGACCCATACAATGTTTTTTTTGGCTATTGCTACAAATATACCCCAGCGACTTAAGACTTAAGGTTTTATGCGCCAGGGTCACAATTTAGAGTGAAAATGTTATTAACTGTCAGGAAAAGGGGAATGTTTCAAAATCTTTAAAGAGATAGTTCACCCAAAATAATCACCCGCATTTACTCGCCTCATGTTGTTCCAAATCCATAAAATCTGTTTAAAGTCAATGCATGCAAAACCTTCAAACTTCTAAAAGTACATTGTGACAATAATCTTAATGAATCAAGCATTTTAATTCATCTTATTATGCATCTTTTAATATGAGCGGATTTAATTTAGGCTTTTATTCATATATAAACATTGATCAGCGCACATACATGGAGCACATTGACCATACTTGCTGGAAACGTGCAGGAACTAACCTCACTGGTTCTTGCAGAAGCAGAAACGTATTTGTGTGACACGTGAGAACAAACCTCACTGTTTTTGCACATTAAACATGCATGTTTGAGCTTCAATGTAAATTACATGTAAAAGAAGAAGCATAAATTTAATCTGTTCATCATATAAAGTGAGCATATCTCTTCAGAGCACTTGGAATGCTCCTTTTGTTTGTTACAATGTCTTTATGCACTTTTGGAAGCTTAAAAATTTTGGTTGCATGGACTTTCAACGGATCGACAAAAAAACCGAGAGAACAAAAAATATCTTCATGTGTGTTCTGAAGATACATGTAAGTCATATGGGTTGAAACAACATAAGGGTGAGTAAATGAGAGAAGTTTCATTTCTGGGTGAACTATCCCTTTAAACAAAATTTTTTTTTTTTTTCTCTCTTCTTGATTTTGCATAGAAATATGACCTGTTTGACATTGGATGTGACATGTTTTTATAAGATTCACCTATAAAGTCCGAGTGAAATACAGTAGCCATATACCGTATTTTGTGTCCACACGTTTGACTTCGACAATCATATATTGAACATGCAATATCCAAAATACTGTCTATAAATAGTTAATGTAGGATAAAAATATAAGAAAATGGCACCCAAACTGCAAACACAAGTCCCTTTAAAGATTAAGGTGAATCATCTTATGTAGTGTTACGTTTGTCATGATTTTTTTTCCCTATGCATTGGGAGTAATGACAAATTAAGCTCTGAAACTGACTTAAAACACTGTATGTGCGTTGCGTGTGCGTCGAGACTCTCAATAGCAGCGCAGGCAGACTTTTGAGTTCTGCGATGCTACAACTGACTTCCCTCCTCCTGAGTTTCTCGAGGGGAGTCCAGGAGCGCGAACATGTCTTCGATCACCTGCCACAGACAGCTGTCGAGCGGGAAGTCGTTGTCCACCAGGTTGACGAGGAAGTAGTTGTCGTGGATGTACTGAATGATCATGCGTGAGGGAGACTCGTCCTCGTATAGCTTCGCCCACTGTTCAATCCACAGCGCAAAAGCCTCGTCCTGTGGGAACAGACAGACACGATGGCGGTTTTGAGTCTAGTTTATCTTATCACCGAGACAATAACAGTGAGTGAACGCCTGTGACAGTGTACAAATGTGAGGTCAATGAGGATTTGCAAGCCGTTTAAACAAGACCTAATAATTTTGCATTGCTTAGTGGTTGCTAAGGTGGTTACTAGGTGGAAAAAGCATCACCTTCCAGTACATAAAGCTGACTGGATCCACGACGGTGGGCTGAATGATCTCTCTGCCGGGGAATATGCCCCATGTCACAGCGTTGGGCTGCATTTCATGGGCATTCGTAATATTCTTGCCCTATAAAGAAGAGAAAATAGTTAAAATGTTAAGAACTGGGGATTCTACCATGGTTCTTGTAGGGAGTGCTGGTGTTTTACCTGAACGTTGACTATATGGTAGTTCACACGAGGTTCATACTTCTTCAGCACTTGCAGAAGCGCAGTGACATTTTCGCTGGACGTGAAAAACTCCAGGTAAGCCTGTTGATTTCAAGAGGTAAAAATAAAGAAGCTGAGGGAATCATTTCCAAAACTAAGTCAATCTTAAATAAACCTAAAAGATAATAAACCCCAAAATAAAGCCACAAATGACCAAGTGCACAGTTCCCACAGTATCACAAGCAGAAATGCAGTGGTGTGAAAAAGTGTTGGCCCCCTTCCTGATTTCTTATTTTTTTGCATGTTTGTCACACTTTAATGTTTCGGATCATCAAACAAATTTAAATATTAGTAAAAGATAACACAACATGCAGTTTTTAAATGAAGGTTTTTATTATTAAGGGAAAACAAAATCCAAAACTACATGGCCCTGTGTGAAAAAGTGTTTGCCCCCTAAACCTAATAACTGGTTGGGCCACCCTTAGCAGCAACAACTGCAATCAAGCGTTTGCGATAACTTGCAATGAGTCTGTTACAGCGCTGTGGAGGAATTTTGGTCCACTCATCTATGCAGAATTGTTGTAATTCAGCCACATTGGAGGGTTTTCGAGCATGAACCTCCTTTTTAAGGTCATGCCACAGCATTTCAATAGGATTCAGGTCAGGACTTTGACTAGGCCACTCCAAAGTCTTCATTTTGTTTTTCTTCAGCCATTCAGAGGTGGACTTGCTGGTGTGTTTTGGATCATTGTCCTGCTGCAGAACCCAAGTTCGCTTCAACTTGAACAGATGGCCGGACATTCTCCTTCAGGATTTTTTGGTAAACAGCAGAATTCATGGTTCCATTTATCACCGCAAGTCTTCCAGGTCCTGAAGCAGCAAAACAGCCCCAGACCTTCACACTACCACCACCATATTTTACTGTTGGTTTGATGTTCTTTTTCTGAAATGCAGTGTTACTTTTACGCCAGACGTAATGGGACACACACCTTCCAAAAAGTTCAACTTTTGTCTCGTCAGTCCACAGAGTATTTTCCCAAAAGTCTTGGGGATCATCAAGATGTTTTCTGGCAAAACTGAGACTAGCCTTTGTTCTTTTTGCTCAGCAGCGGTTTTCGTCTTGGAACTCTGCCATGCAGACCATTTTTGCCATTTTTGGAGTCATGAACACTGACCTTAACTGAAGTGAGGCCTGCAGTTCTTTGGATGTTGTTTTGGGGTCTTTTGTGACCTCTTGGAGGAGTCGTCGCTGTGCTTAATTGTTGCTTGTGTAATTTTGGTCGGCCGGCCACTCCTGGGAAGGTTCTCCACTGTTCCATGTTGTTGCCATTTGTGAATAATGGCTCTCACTGTGGTTCGCTGGAGTCCCAAAGCTTTAGAAATGGCTTTATAACCTTTTCCACACTGATAGATCTCAATTACTTTCTTTCTCATTTGTTTCTGAATTTCTTTGGATCTCGGCATGATGTCTAGCTTTTGAGGATCTTTTGGTCTACTTCACTTTGTCAGGCAGGTCCTATTTAAGAGATTTCTTGATTGCGAACAGGTGTGGCAGTAATCAGGCCTGGGTGTGGCTAGAGAAATTGAACTCAGGTGTGATAAACCACAGTTTTAACAGGGGGGCAAACACTTCTTCACACAGGGCCATGTAGTTTTGGATTTTGTTTTCCCTTAATAATAAAAACCTTCATTTAAAAACTGCATGTTGTGTTCACTTGTGTTATCTTTGACTAATATTTAAATTTGTTTGATGATCTGAAACATTAAAGTGTGACAAACATGCAAAAAAATAAGAAATCAGGAATGGAGCCAACACTTTTTCACACCACTGTAGATCTGATGTACTCTACAAATTAATACTATAAATTTACTGACAGCATCATTGCAGCAGTTTTTTAGTATCATTAATATTCGATTATAGTTTGTTTTGTATATTTTCTATTTTAAATAGTTTTTAAGTTTTAGTTTTTAATTTACTTTTGTTGTTGTTGTTATTTTAGTACTTAAAATTTAACTAAAGGAAAAGTTTCCTTGTCAACTAGCTGAAAAAGTTTTTTTTAATATATATATATATATATATATATATATATATATATATATATATATATATATTTATTTATTATTATTTTTTTTTTCAATTAATGATTTTTTTTCGGTTTTAGTTGTAGTTAACCAAAATAAAAAATTCCTTCTGCATTTATTCCCCATCATGTTGTACCATAGCTGCCGCGCAAAACGGACAAGAGAAATAGATTTAGTCCACGATATGATCTCTGTGCTCCATTCAAAGTCCTCTGAAGTCATGATGCTTTGTGTGAGGAATCCAATGAAACATGGTACATCGCACACAGTTTCATGTCAGTGACAAACATCTTTGCTTCTTTCATGTCAGTTTAGTATTGTTAATATACCATTAGTATTTAGTATTATATAGTAGATTTAGTAATACTATAATATAACATAGTATTTATTAGTATTTTGAATGTTAGAATTTTTTTGTATTTTAATTTTACCCAAAATTTTTGTCATTTTTATTAGTGTTTGTCTAAACAGTTTTATACATTTTAGTTATTCCATTCCTTAAACATACTAAATTAATTAAAACATTTTATTTTTTATTTCAGTTAATGTTTATTTAATTTCAAGTAACAAGAACATTTTCATGGTTTTAGTTTTAGTTAACGATAATAACCATGAAAAAGTGATTACAATGAAACACGTTTATGTTTTTGTCTAGAATTAAACATTTTAGAGTGGAAAAGAAGATTTACAGCAGTAAGACTTAAAGTGCCCCTATTATGCCTTTTTAAGGTTGTTAATATTGTTTTATGAGTCTCCTAAAACAGGTTTGGAAGTTTTACTGTTTGTGGACGGGCAAGTTGGCGACGTAAAACGTGGGCATGCAAATGTGTTACTTTGTGACGTAGAGCCGTAACATAATAAGATTCGAATTCTTGATGACTCGTTTAGGCGATTACGAGCCGACTTTTTTTTGATAGACAATAACTTTATCGCGCACTGTCGGCTTCACAACTTTGCAGATAGTTTATGTTCACATACAGCTACATGACACACTGCATGAAAGGTAATATTCGAAAAGGCATAATAGGGGCACTTTACATTTCAGTTTGTTCCTCACACAAAACTATCAGAAGACTTCAGAATACAACACACAAGTCATATGGTCATTTTTTGAGCTCAACAAACCCAGTCCTCGTTCACCTTTCATTTTATGGAAAAAGCAGTTCGCTCGCTCTTTCTTGAAAACATCTTTTTTTTTTTTCATCGCACAGAATAAAATATGCCTGGCTTTTCATTTTCGAGTGACCTATTCTCATAGCGCTGTTGCATATTTTTGCTGACCTTTTGAAAGACGTATCCCCCCGCAGGGCCCCAGCCCACAATGGGGTCGGATGAGGGTTTGCCGTTAATGTTGGGTTGAGAGTTAATGGTCAGAATCCCCCTGCGGTTCACCTTCTCCAACTCATCCTTCAGCAGGTTGGTCTCTGGAGCCAAAGGATCATCGTTCCACGGCAGACACATGACCTACGCAGAGCAGAAAGCAATAATGGAGTAGTGTTTGTATATAAATTATTTAGGACACATACAGGACACGAATATTGATGACATGAATGGGGCAGTATGATCAAAATATTACATCACGGAAACTGTATATCATTGTTCAGTCAATTTATGCTAGTTGAAAGTCTCGTCACATCCCGATATCAATCACTAAGTTAAGCGGTCTGAATGAATGAATCACGTTTGCTGATAAACAGACCTCTGCACATCAGTTGAATTCAATATTAATGTGCAAAATGTGCCTAGTTGTGACATCGTTTGGCAACCACAAATAATTAGCTTCCTTTGTGTTGATCCAAACAACACGCCTTCATAAGTTCTTCCTCGTCTTGACTTCTGGTTCATGCTGTGCTCTGTATTTGTGTATTACTCGATGTTCCTTCACATAAATCGCCTGTGCCTACACAAATACACCTAGCACAGTTAGCAGCACTCTGCTCTTATTCATACCCTCATACAGTCCAGCTGTGCATGGCTGTATTCTGACATTGGCTGTGTGACTCTACCTTGTGTCCACTGGGATTGGTTTGGCCAGTGATGTAGTTGGTGAAGACTTCATACACACTCCCTTCGTTCATAAGTTCCTCACCCCACATCTGCAGGAGGGCCTCTTTGGGAGACTTACTCTTCAGGTAGAACAGGTAGTAGTCTGTCAGCTCACCAAAAGCTGGTGACGAGGAGTTACCCCTGACAAGATGGCAAACACGGTCCTTCACTTTTCTCTAACTACCCAAACATAAAACTCAGACTAGAAACATTTAAATGTATGTACCATCTTCCGTTGGGGAAATCATCCCAGTCTTGCGTCCTGTAGATATAGCTTTTGGGTCGGGAAGCCCAGAAGATTGGCCTGACGTCTTCTACCTTACGCTTCGGATGAGCGCTGACGGCCCAGGGCAGAGGTCGCCTAAAGGTAGCAAGATTAATGCAAAGAGGTGACTCTCATGAAGCCTGTCAAAAGCACTTCCAGGCCATATTTTACCCCAAAAATCAAAATAATTTAATATATTTCGCTTAATTATGTCTTTTTTTTAAACGTTAACCTTCTTGGCCTTTATTTATTTATTTTTTTATCATGACATAGTTTTCAGAATAATTAAGCATTTAATATATTAAGTGTTCAAATATTAAATTGAAAAAAAAAATCTATGTATTACATTTCATTTTTACTAAATAAATGAGTATACAAATATTCAGAGCCCTAGAACTCAAAATGTCTCACAATATAGTTATGACTTTTACTTCTTTCTTTTTTTTTTCTATTGATTTATTTTTTGCATTATGATAACGAAAATTTGGGAGAGGGTGCTTAATTGTTGTAAAATAACCAATATCTGCACAGGTGTGATTGCACATTAACACCTACTACCTACAATAAAATGTACAATTAGACTAATAAACTACATTACTTGACCATAAAATAAAAAAAAATAAAAAAAGATTTATTGTAATTATAATTCCACAAAAAAAAAAAAGTATATATATATATATATATATATATATATATATATATATACATTAATGAGGAAAAAAAATTAACTTAAATGATTTTAGCAAATGGCTGCAATATAACAAAGAGTGAAAAATTTAAGGGGGTCTGAATACTTTCCGTACCCACTGTATATTAGTGTCTTATAATATATTGCTGGTGCTGTTATATTAGGGTATTAGGGCCCTATGAAATATATTTTTTTTTCCAAATTACCCATTTTTTAAAAATTCTTTCCATTTTATTCTTTTGGATTCGTTTTTTTTTTTTCATTTGTAACTTTTCTGGATTCTGTTCTAATGGTTAAATACAATTTTAGTAATCAAAAAGCATATCTACTTAACTGAAAGTATGTCGTTTTTTTATTTATTATTAATAGACACTTGTCCATATTGAGATTTGAAAAATGGTACAGCACTACTTTTTGATTTACTCATCCAAAATTTGCCAAATTCCATGTTATACAATAATTCCGTTTTTATGTCAGGATTCCATGATTCTGTCCCGTTCATCATAAAGCCCTATTACATAAAAGCAATACAGAACTTGAGGCCCCGGTTACAGTGATTTAACATGAGCCTTTGTGTCGTGCCTTATAGCCCTTATAACCATGGTAAAATCACTGTAATGCACAGCCTCTTCTTTATTATCCCAGGGCATTAAAGTTACAACTATGTTGCATGTGGGCATGTACTATTCTGTCGCCAATGTGCAGCAGGATGTAGTCAATGGATTTTAGGGATGCACGGGCTGATACTGCGCTCCTGTACTCGTACTCGTAAAAATGCCCCAATACCAAACAGCGTGTGAATAGAGCTGTGTCCAGAAAAAGAAACACTGAAAACAGAACAACAGAGAGTAGAATGGAGTTATTAGAGATTAAGGATGTCTATGAAGTACATGCAAGTAATTAATATAATGTTAAACATTCAATATTCACTGGAAAGTTTGTAGTTCGGTCAGATATGTCAAAAGTAAGTAAAACAATGCACAAGTTACTAAAGCTATTTGACGGTAAGGAGAGCGAGAGAGAGAGAGAGAGAGAGAGAGTGAGAGCGCGCACTTCTGTTGCATGATCTTGATTGCTGTTCGCTCCATTA